GGTTGGGCCTGCCTCGGCCGCTTTCGAAGCTGCACAACAAAACACGCCTTGGGTCGGTTTAACCCTCCTCCCGCCCGCTCTCGGCGGACCGAGACAAAAATGTTTCCTTCTTCCCCGTGGTTATCCTTGGCCACGCGGTGGCTTTCGTATACACAAAGGTAGCTTTTCTTTCGTCTAAGTGAACTTGGCTAATGACTGCGATTCTCAGGCAACCGAGGTGCAAACCGAGAGTTGGAGCGAGTTTATAGCTTGAAAACAAACTTTACTGAGGAAGGGGGAGGGGCGCAGCGAATTCAAAGCCTCCTTCAAATGAGGAGGAGGAAAAAGTAGAGACGTAAGCTCACCTTGGCGAGAGGGCCGGCCCGATCCCACCAACGTACAAGTATGGCTCGAGCAAATCATACTGAAGCGGTTATTAAGACCGCGAGATGCTCCTGAGAGGACGGCCGGTTCTCTGGAGCTACCAACCCTTTTTAACCCCTTTGCTATATGCTCCCCCGAAATACCCCCAAGGCTGGTCCCAAAGTTGTTGAGAGCTATTGTTCGCGCATTATGGGGGAAAACGCCTAGGGTCTTCCCAATTCCGGGAAGGAAAACAACTTACCGAACTGGGGTCCAAATACCAGCAATTGCTTGGGATGTTTTTTGTTTACTTGCTTTTCTCAAGGTGGAAAAACAAGTTTCAGGTCCCGCTCTGTCAGTCTTGTAATGTCTCAGGGCCTGCCGCTAAAATGGAGTCAGTGATTTTAAAGATTCTTTCCTGTGCTAAACCGAGATTTATATATATTTTTTCTCGTTTGCTACTTATTATATGCTGAATTCATATAGATGTTCACTGAATTGAAGAATTGCCTGAGTAGCGTTGAGACGTTACTTGGTGCTTGTAGGGGCTGGTGATAAACGTTTTTTTACCTTTATTTTTTTTTCTTTTCCATTAGACACCCATAGTTGCATTTTTTTCTCTCCAGACACCCATAGTGTGCCAAGCGAAGAAAGAGAGTTGGTGTAAAGTTGAGTTACTTCTCACAGCCTGCAAACCCTTTAAAGGCAGAAACACAAAGAGAAACATGGAAACACATGTAAGCCAGGAAAGTATATCAAGAAATGCAATTATTATTGATACCAGACCCATTCAAGTGATTAGGAAATGCATTTCTTTCATCCATCTACTCAACAATTAAGATGATTTCCATCAGGCACTGTCCTGCAGGGGAGAATGATGACTGACAACTGTCACTATCCTCTTCATTCTAGTCTCTGGGAGGCAGTCTTGTGCATTGTGTGGAGCCCATATTTTATAAAAAGTATGCAACGTGCTGGGCTTCTCTCACTGCGCGACGGCTGGCTCCGTGACGGTCTCCCGTCTTGCGTCAGAGGGTCCTGGACTCCTTAAGGAGAAGTTGCCCTTGTCTCTTCAAGGCCTGAGCTAAGCTACAGCCATCATGTGATGATTTTATCAACCCCACGGCAAAATTCTCCTCCTCTTCCTTGCATGACTAATACAACTGGTGCTACTACTTTTGTTTTTAATCACTTTTATTTCCCTAGTCTAAGCCTCCCCTTCTAGCCGCCCGATCTCCTCTGTAAAAATAAAATAAAAAATAAAATAAAAGTCATTGTCACTTCTCCTTATCTAGATGGGTTTTGGAATCTAGGACACAGAGCAGAAAGAGGATTCAGTGAGCGTAGCCTTTTGCTCTCTTTAGTCACAGCATCTTGTATCTGCATTGTATTTTACAGATCATGAAACGTTTATTAAAATGTTCTTGCTTGTCATGTAGGGTTTTTTTTTTTCTTCTTTAGGTCAAGTTTACTTAAAATTCACATTCGAATATAACAAAGCTAAAAAAGCATAAACCCAAGTACTGGACAAATTATCTGGCTCTAAGGGTTTTTTTTTTTCTTCTTTAGGTCAAGTTTACTTAAAATTCACATTCGAATATAACAAAGCTAAAAAAAGCATAAACCCAAGTACTGGACAGAAATTATTTGGCTCTAAATCAAGTGGACTCTAGGAAACCCTGAATACTATGGGGTTAGTCTCTGAAGTCTACCTGTAGAATTTCTTCTGCTCTGTCTGCTTTCTTCTTTCATTTTTTAATTACGAAGGGAAAAGAAAAAAGAACTCAAAAATTCAAGCAAGAAAAAAAGCAAAGTGAGATGAAATACCTGCTAAGGGCCCCTTCTACTCTCTCTATGGGCATTTGTACACTACTAACAAAACAATGGATTTTTTTTTTCCCCCGTTATTTGTTCTCCAGTCCCCTCTGCCTGGAATGTTCCTTTACCCTTTGTGTGTCTGGCAGTTTCTCAGACTAGGCATGGCCTAGACGTTTACCTCTTAGAAGACTTTTTGACCACCTGACCTAAATTAGGTGCCTCCACTGTCACCATCTGTAACAGCTCAGGGTTTCTAAGTCACAGCCCTGTTGACATTTGGGGCTTAATAATTCTTGTCTCAGGGATTGTCTTGTTTATGGTAAAATGTTTAGCGGCATCTCTGGCAGCTAACCTGGACGTGCCAGTAGCACCCTCCCCTAAAGTTGTGATAAACACGAATATCTCCAATTTTGTTAGATGTCCCCTGGTATATTAAAAAAGGGTGAGAGGATCACCCTAAAAAACCATAGATACAACTCATCCCTTTCTTTATTTCTTTCATAACACCATCATTTTAGTTATTTTTTGTTTTTGACTGATAATTTGATTTCTTTCCCATTGAATTCCTCCCAAATGTGTGCATATATGAAATCGGGGGGTTCCCCCCACCCCGACAGGGTCTTGCTCTGTTGCCCAGGCTGGTCTGAAACCCCAGTAGCTGGGATTACAGATTTGTGTCACAATACCCAGCTATCATTGTTAAATCTTTATGCACCTAGCACAGTGCCTAATACATCACAGGTACCCGATAAATATTTATTAAACAACTACTGTATGAAAGAGACACTAAGAATCATTAATAGGGCCAGCCCGTGGCTCGCTGGTTAAGACATCTATATCCCACATAGCTGTCTGCGTGGTTGGAGTCCTAGATCTGGTGGCTT